CGTGGATCCCCCATGGGAGAAGCTCCAATCCCCCTTGGATCCCCCATGAGTGAAGCTCCAAACCCTCACAGGAGAAGCACTAATCCCCCATGAGAGAAGCTCCAAACCCCCATGAGATAAGCTCCAAACCCCTATGGGAGAAGCTCCAAACTCCCACTTGGGAGAAGCTCCAACCCCCCTTGATGCTGCAGAGTTTGGCTGTGCCCCAAAAGGCAGGAGAAGGTCTGGATTTGCCTGCCATGCAAATCAGTGCCATTACAGAGCTCCTGATTAGGATCTCCCTGGGAATGCTGCCATGCCTCTCCCAGGGCCTGAACCCCACGGGAAGTTTTGGGAAGCAGAGAGCCAGGGGACCAGGACCACCAGAGCCTGGGGAGGAAAGGATTCCAGAGCTCAGGACCACCACAGCCTGGGTGAGGAGTCCAGAGCTCAGGACCACCAGGGCCTGGTGAAGAGAGGATTCCAGAGCTCAGGACCACCAGAGCCTGGTGAGGAGAGGATTCCAGAGCTCAGGACCACCACAGCCTGATGAAGAGTGGATTCCAGAGCTTAGGACCACCAGAACTTGGTGAGGAGAGGATCCAGAAGCTCAGAACCACCATAGCCTGGTGAGGAGAGGATTCCAGAGCTCAGGATGAGGAGAGGATTCCAAAGCTCAGGGTGAGGAGAAGCTCCTGGAGCTCAGCACAGCCTGCTGCCATTGGCACACTCCAGTTGGGACAGTGTTCCCAACTGTGCCAGGCTGTTGCCAGCAGCAGCCTGGGCAGCAGAGGCAGCCTGGGCAGCAGGTTTAACCCCTGTGTGTGCCCTGGCTGTGCTCAGCCCTGGGTACCTGGGCCACCCATCCCGTCCGTGCCGCGCTGAGTCAGGCTCTGATCCCATGACATCACTGGGCTCCACATGACCTTCCCAGGATGCAGCCTGCGAGACAAAGCACTTTCCAGAAACCAGTCTGAGCCGGCAGCAGGCAACACACAGCCGGGCTAACCCTGCCGGCCCGCGCCTTCCTCCTCCTCCTCCTCTTCCTCCTCCCCATCCCATTCCTCCTCCTCCTTCTCCTCCCCATCCCCATCCTTCTCCTCCTCCTTCTCCTCCCCATCCTTCTCCTCCAGCTGGCAGCAGGCAACCAACAGCAGGGCTAGCCCTGCCAGCCTGCACTTTCCTCCTCCTCCTCCTCCTCTTCCTCCTTCTCCTCCCCATCCCCATCCTCCTCCTCCAGCTGGTAACACACAGCCGGGCTAACCCTGCCAGCCTGCACCTTCCTCCTCTTCCTCCTCCTCCCTCTCCTTCTGCCGCCTCCTCCTCCTCCTCCAGCTGGCAGCAAGCAACCAACAGCAGGGTTAACCCTGCTGCCCTGCACCTTCCTCCTCCTCTGCCTCCTCCTCCTTCTCCTCTTCCTCCTCCAGCTGGCAGCAGGCAACCCACAGCAGGGGCTAACCCTGCCGGGTGGCACCTTCCTCTTCCTTCTCCTCTTTATCCTCCTCCTCCTCTACCTCCTCTCCTCCCTATCATTCTCCTCCTCCAGCTGGCAGCAGGTAACCCACAGCAGGGCTAACCCTGCCGGGTGGCACCTTCCTCTTCCTCCTCCCCATCTTCTTTTTCTCCTCCTCCTCCTCCTCTTCCTCCTCCTCCAGCCAGGGCAGGCAACCCACAGCAGGGCTAACCCTGCTGACCAGTACCTTCCTCTTCTTCCTCCTCCTCCTCCTCCTTTTCCTTTTCCTCCTCCTCCTCCTTTTCCTCCTCCTCCCCACAGGGTGCCCGAGGACACCAGTGGCCACCAGTGTGCCCTGAGCTGGGAGAACCTCCCCCCTCTCCCCTTTAACCCTTCCATCATTGGTGACATTCCTTCCTTTCTTTCTTTCCAGGGCTTTTCTCCCCTTACAGATTAGTTTCTCTCTTTTCCAGTGAGTTTTCAGACTCTTCCCCCC